ACAACCGGAAAAAATCTGCCACTTCCTTACAGAGCCCCTCCTCCTCCAACACACACGAAGGCGCACATGACCCATGAGGGCACGAGATAAGTTTGTGCACAGATGGAAGGCTGACAGGCAGGTAGGCCATCCAGTTATTTTAGCCGGGCCGGCTAAAATGATTGGTCGTGCTTTTTACAGTACCACGGCTTCCACAGATGACATTTTTTTATGGATTTTTTGTCAAAGCACTTAAGAAATTCATTGCTATCGGGATGTTAAGAGCATTCCATGGAATATAACAAAAAGTATATCTCGAGCTGATTTCTCAAACGTACTACTCCACCAACCCTTAGATGCATAAGTGGGTCTTTTTGGACCCGGTGAGGTGGTTTTCTTGAAGTATCTTTGTAATTACATTTTTTTATCATTTCATATTCCTGCTATTCCTCAAAAAACATGTTTTGGATATCATGCCATTCACATTTAAATTTAAATTTTAAGGAATTGTAGTTTAGTGGGAATGCTGTTAACAGCATTCCAACTTATATATCACCGGTCCATGCCTCAACAGCTCTACGCCAAATCTGAGATCTCACCATATGCCGTTTCCATGGAAACGCATCCCTCGCCATAAAACATGATGTCGCTATAACTCCTATGAAAATGTTCAAAAAGTGCTCAAACTTCATATGTGTGCTAACAGTCCAGCCGTGAAGACATCTACGGGACAGTTTTGAGATTTCTTCAAATGCCGTTGCCATGGCAACACAATGCTCACCATGAAACACGGTTTTCTCACAACTTCAGTTCAAATGCTCCAAAAGCCCCAAAACTTCACAGGTTTGGTAACGATGCAGCCATCAACGCATCTAAGCGTATTATGGGATGTCATCAAATGCCGTTGGCATGGCGACAGATCATTCACCAGTTCAAATATTCTGCTGCTTTTCCAAGCCTTTTTACTTTATTTTCTTCTCTCATCACACATTCAAGCCCCCAGTGTTCATGTATCATTTCAATCTAAATTATTCACTTTCTTCTTACACATTACATTTCAGCATAGCAGTTTAGCGTCAGATTTTCAGCATAAAGCATTCCCACTAGCAATTTCTTCAGGAATTGCATTCTCTAGTTTTTGTATTACTACCCCAAGCTTCCATAAGTGGGTCAAAAATGACCCGCATGCATTTATGGGATCCTATGGGACCTTTGATTCTTATCACCTGTGGCTATCAGGAATACATTCACTGTAGACCACACATACGACATCACAAGTGACACCTCTCAGGAAGATTATTTTACACAGCAATATCTGATACCTGTCAGTATAATAATAATAATAATAATAATAATAATACATTATTTGTATAGGGCTTTTCAAGGACTCAAAATCGCTTTACAATATAAGGGAAGGTTAGGGTGGGGGGTATAGGACTATCAAACTTAATCAACCGGCATGGATTGATGGGGGGGGGGGGGGGGCTATGAGTAGACAAGAGGAGAAGAGATGAGTCTTGAAAAGGGACTGGAATACTGTGAGGGTCTCAGAATAGCAGAGATCTTTGGGACAATATGCTCAAAACATTTTTTTTCAAAATGTAAACATTTTTTCTAAAATTATAAATTGTGAAAAATTAAATATAAAATATATCTAATGTGAACCAAAATACAATAATAAATATTATACAAGTGATTTTTCTTAACCAAAATGACTAAACATGTCATAAAAACACATATTATTCTAATACGGATCCTTTTAGATCCACTTATGGAAGAGTGTAGGGTCCAGTCACTTGTGCATCTAAGGGTTAAATTAAGAGTTTGTTTTTGGGAAAACATGATTCATGAAATAGGTTAAGGAATTATTATTGAAAAGTAGGGAATAATCTATTCAAGTACAAAATAAATCAAGAACAAAAAATCTAAAAACATACAATAAAAAATATATAGAAAAATATAGTTCTAGATATGATTTTAACAAGAGGAAATCCACATTTATCTAACCAATTAGCCATTATATGTTCATCATGAAACACGCTCCGTACAAAATTATATTCACTGTGACTCATACAGACGGTATTACATAATAATGTAAATGTTACATTGTATTCAGGATCAGATATACCCTTTTCAGGTTTCAGAAATGGTAGTTAAGTATGTTCAGACTCTTCAGGGTTCCTTTAAATAAATAAAAAAGGAAATGCCACCAAAGAAGCTCAGTTTGATTTCCTCCATAGACTCAGGGTGGCTCTTCCGAAAGAACTATGGTTCTGAAAGGTCACAGCAGGCCCTGATTGGTCCCTCAGCTTGCTGCTGTAATGACAGGCTAAACCTTACTGAAGTGTGTTTCATTCAGCTGTGAGAGTGACTTAAAATGGTGTGACTGTAAGTACAACACATAGGAATTGGGCCATGAGATATCACTTTTGATAGTTTCATTAATATTGGAAATATTATGGACAGTGATCCACACCGCTACCTTTCACTACTGGGATAATCAATCCGTTGTGAATTCCCCAACTCTTGACTGTCTGACAAGTCAAGAGTTGCCCTGTAGTAGTCGATGAGACCATCGGCCAATACCAGCTTAAAACATCCAATACCCAAAATCCCTAACCCTAAATGAGCTCAAACGATAATACTGCACCAGGGAAATCTAAAATGTTTCCACCTACAAAAACCTATGCAGTTAAATTAATTTGACGTGTGCCGAAAAACATCCCTACATATAGTGACTTTAAGCCTCTTACACACCAAACTGACACCAAAGAACACGTCCCGACGGAACGTCGCCTCACATCTCCTTGGCCATGTTTCGCACTGGAACACACCGCAACGACTTCGGCCGAAGGCCAAGTTGCATATATGCACATGCGTGAGTGGCAATAACTCTCCATACCAGCAGGCGTCGGTAGTGTGTATTCGTCATTCAAAAGAGGCAACAACCGGAAGACAGACTGCGTGATAACCGAGAGAAGAAGAACAGACTGCGTGATATAAACAAACAACAAATAGCGTGTGCATTCCATTTTCACTCTACAACGAGAAGCTCAGGGGGCTTTCCCGAACCTGTGTCGAGAGCTGGAGTTAAATGAAATCTCAGAATTGCCTTCTTAATAGTTAGTTTGGGTCCCTCACATCCGTTTCACTTCTCATGCACTGATTCGCTAAGCTGAACAGCCAATCAGAGTGATTTCCTTGGCCGACGGCGAATCGGCGGCGGAAGGTGTTGGCACGGCCGAAAAGACACGACGGTGCAGTACACACCAATCTGAGTAGGGCGACACGACGCTCATCAATGGCCCGACATCTATCGACATCTATCGACGCCGATAATCGGCTCCGTGTGTAACAGCCTTTAAATGTAAAATCTACTCTGCAAAGAAACAACTAACTAGAGCTGTCATGTTTGCTTAAGTTTTCCTCTATAACAGAGTAAAAAGTCAAATCGTGCTGTAATCTCAAATAATATGCTCTTGTTTATTTTTTATTGTAAATCTGTGTTTTTTTCTCTTGTTAATTTCCCACTTTCAGAGAATTAAACTAAATTGCGAGTTTCAAATGAAAATAATATTTTATCACCATAAATACAAAAAATGAACATAGACTAATGAATAAAAGGTACTTCCTTCACGTTACTTGTTCATTTCCACTTCCATCAGCTCACTGTTTTTCAGGGTCTCTGTACTTATAAAACAAAAATAAATAATCTTCTATTGCTCCCAATTGAAGCTCGTATTGCCATGGCCTGTCAACATAACTCTTTCCTTCTAATCTGAAATACCAGGGATTAAACAGGCAGCCAACTCTCCATCCATAAATCTACAATCCCCTCCCCCTTTCTCTCTCTCACACGCACACACACACACACACACACACACACACACACACACACACACACACACACACACACACACACACACACACACACACACACACACACACACACACACACACACACACACACACACACACACACACACACACAAACCCACCTAAACCCACTGATTTCTGCTAGTCTTTTTGATGTTTTGGGAGGCAGAGAGTGGGAGGTGGGTGGGGCGGATTAGATTAAATTGGTCTAAAATCAAGAGATCACTCATGGCCGGGGGCCGACAGATAGAAACAGTGTGTGTATGTGAGAAAGAGATAGAAAGGGAGAAACAAAATGATCCAGTCAGCCAGAATCTGGCAGCAGCAGGTCGTTCAGCCCCGATATGACCCGGCTCTCGAACCCTACCCTCAGTCAATCTCCAGCGTCCTGCTGCTTTTCCATAATATCACACTACACCACGTCTCAAATCTCATCATGACAGCCTCCAGCCTCCATCCTCCTATAGGACTTTAGGATTTAGCGCGACATCATATGCCTATACCTTGCCTCTCATTTTGACCAATAGGATCTTGAATGGTAGAAGGTGCACTGAGGGATCCTCATTCGCTTCCAAGAGTATTGGTGAAGTATTTGCCTCACTGGGCGTGGAAGACGTTGCCCCATGGAACGCACTGGATTGAGTATGGATTTTGGACTTTTATGTGACAATTGAACAGAGAAAGACAGGAAGAGGAAAAGAGGCAAAGGTACAGGGGAGACGTGTAGGGACAGGAGTAGGGGAGGACAGGAAGAAGAGGGCAGGGAGATGGGAAACATAAACAAGGCTTCTAAAAAGAACAGTAAAAGAAAGAAGGTAAGGGTTGATTTCATTCCTTTAAGCTAAGAGACACCGATTTATCAAAGTACGTTTGACTACGATATAGTGTGAACTTATTAAGATATTGAAGATAAATGATTTGTAAGCCTGATCATTTGTGAAAGTTGGTCCCGAACGCTAACGATTGACAATTCCCCAGCTAAAGTTGAACTGTAAACAACATCTTACGACCATTTCAACAAATGTTGGTTCTTATAAGTCTATATTCTAAAAAGCACAAGACGAATGGTCTTGTGAATTGCAAGAGACGGAATTTAAGTCGCAACGTGGTCTGGATCCTAATTCGGTTCGTTCCCCTCCTCTAAGGGGGAGTCGTCTGTAGAACGAAGCGGCGCCCCGTTGGCTGCCGCCATGCTGGGGGGCATGGGGGGTGCACGTGAGCTTGACACGGATGACGAAGACGAAGGAGCGAGCGAGCGGGACTTCGACGAGCCCCTGTGCGCGCTGGTTCAGAACTGCAACATGCTGCACCACCTAGTGGGGCCTGCTTGTATCTTCCTCAGACAGAGCTTTGCACAGAGCCAGATTGTATGTATAGCATTCACACACACACACACACACACACACACACACACACACACACACACACACACACACACACACACACACACACACACACACACACACACACACACACACACACACACACACACACACACACACACTATGGAATAATCATAGCCCATAAATCTCTTCATCCATCCATTTTCTCAGTGGTGTCTAAGTACAAGTGAAGGTGAAGTTCCAGCCTATCCCATCTCCACCAATTACAATGTCAACCCCCAACCTCATCAATCCTATATACCTTCATATCACAATAATTCACAAGAGGTTGTGTGATTGTGCTAGAAGAGCTGTTATAGTCATTTGATTTACAGCTCTTTGAAGGCAGCAATGTGCCTTTTTGTTTTTAGGGGGCGGGGCTACTAGGTTTAATTTGAAAAGATACGATTCCTTTTATATCTGTGGAACAAGTTTAAGAGTGCTAAATGACTTCCTACCAGAATAAAATCAATGATTTTCATTATAGATATACAGAAGGTTACACCATATCCATCAAATTTACGCTCTGGATAAAGTCCGTTTTGTAAAAAAGGTTACCCTGCTTTGAATGTGATTTATGCAGAACTTAATATTTGTATGGTTTTTAGTTATAAATATGATAAACATTTCTGAAGGAGATATTTATTTGACTGAATACAATGTATCAGAATAAATAGTTATTTGTTCTAAAGGCAAGTACTACGTCAGAAATATCCATTATATTATAATATTCCAAAATAATGATCACATAACATAATCATGCAAACATGGCTTTCAAGTATACCAGTAAAAGAGTAATACACTAGGAAAGGTTCATTGTTATAACTATATCTAACCTTAAACTATTTTATAATATGTTTGCAAAATTATTTTAAAAAAAATATATATATATACATTGTTGTGCAATTGTGTGACGGATTTCTTGCACATACTGTATATCTTATAGTAGAAGTATGTTGTAAAAAGGGGGCCGATTGTACTATAATGACTAAGAAACTGGCCTCCCAATTGGTCTAGATTATAATTAAGATCATGAATTTATTTTCAAACAGTGCTAAAGATAACATGTGTGCCTTGCATGTCTTCTGTAGAGATGGGGGGCATGGCAGAGATCAATAACAGAGTAATTTCCCCACAGAACAGCTAGCAGCGCTAATTGAAAAGAGCCATTAGGATGATAGTGTAGTCACTGATCACAGCTTTACTGAGCTATAGGCTTCTGAGGTATTAGAAGACCTTTGGCTGAGTCGATAGGAGAAAGTAATTATTTTAAGGTGTAAGGACACCAAAACTTGAGTTAAAAGGTGAGTGAATAATTGTTGGATTATAAATGAATGATCAAATAGCTACCAAAAATAAAAAAGTACCTACAAAAACTCAAACATCCAATCAGTCTTAGCTGTACTTTGTGTTAAGTGCTAATTATCTAGCTGTTAACATACTAAACTAAAATGATGACCATGTAAAACACTGAGCCGATAGCTAACCAGCTGTTCTATATAACCAAACAATACCAAACAAATGTATCCGATTGTCCACTTGTAGACAAAAGCCCCGATAAATTGGCATTCGCTCTATATTTTCAAAGACGCATCAGAAAGATTTGTTGCAGACAACCAAGTGGTATAGCAGGTACCACTCTGCGATTCCAAATGTTGTAGTGTAAAAAGTTTTGACAGCAAAGCCTCCAACCGGCTCAGCAGAACAGACGATCCTTGCTGCCCACATGTCTATTCTCTCCTCCATATTATATTATTTTTCTTCTCTGTTTTTTTCTTGATGAAAATGATCAATGTTAGAACTATTTTTCTATCTATCTCCCACCAGCGTCTTTTCTAAGCTACAACATCTAAACTTGTGGGACAACTTCTTCTTATGGGTTGGGAAATGGGATTCCTTGACAGAGAACACAGATTAGTGTCACTTTTGTGGATATAGTGAGAGTAATAGCATTTACTATTTGTCAATCCCCCGTAATCCCCTTTGTACTCTAAAATGGCAGCAATGAGCGCAGTAATAATCCCTTCTTGTTTGTACAAACACCCTTTAACTATTCCTTTGGTGTAAGTGGTACCTTATTTTTGCGACATGGGAGAATTACTTGAATCTTTACTTTAGGAAATTGTAACTCCAACATGTCTTTGCTTCAATACGTTTTGTTAATGCTGGGTTGCTGTTTTTTTGTTTTTGAGAGCAATCAGAGTGTTGTTTGGGAATAAAAGCAGAAAAGAAACACAGATGGTAGCAAGAAAAACATTTTCCTCACCGCCTCTTTGCCTGAATTTGGGCTTAAACTGACAGTCACAAATGTTCAGCCAAAAAGACAAATCGGTACACGGTGTGCAGGTGTGTACGTGTTTGTTAATAGGGTACTGGTCGAACAGCAGATGACACATGCAGATGAAAAAATCATTGGAAGACTGGAAAATGAAAAACCGATAAGCCTTCGTGATTTGTAATACAATTTACAGCTGTAATCTCCCTTCCACTGTTCTCTCCCCTGTATCCTCTAATCCCGGCCCATATTATTCCTGTTGATGATGTCACAGCATGAACAAATATATCCATGCATCAACTTTTGGCTATGCAAAACAGGGTGAAGCCAAAATCAAATACACTGTAAATGATGTATTGGTGTGTGGCTGTAGCTACGTGTTACTGTTTTAACTCAGTTCTAGGAAGTTTAGGCTCCAAATTAGGTCTTGGTTCTTTGGGTTCCTCATAATTGTATCAATATACAAAGCCTTTTATGAGTTTGCATGCATGTATTGTGAATATGGATGTGTATGCATTTTCCTGTATGTTTGTGAAGGGATAGGGTTTTCCATGATGCGTTTGAAATGCTTGTTGTGGAGCATGCATAAGCTAAAAGCGTCTGCAATGAGATTGGACACAAGCTTTTGTGGCAGATCAACTAATAAGGTTATAAGGGTCAGTCTGATCAAAACCCAAATAATCCAGCAATTGAATCTCTGCTTAGGCGTCCGAACAGGGAATAAACATGTTTACAGGAGCAATGGAACCACTAGAACCTAAGCACTTAATTTGTTCTAGCATGTTATGTCATTGTGAAAATGTGCTTGATCACAGAATGAAAGTTTGTGTTTGACCTGACTCGCTGTCCATTTTTCTCTTTGTGTGGGTCTATTCTTCTATCCGCCCCACTGCAGGACAGAGATCTACGACCAGAGGAAATGGAAGGTAGATATCAAAAGCGTAATCAAATCATAGCTCTTTCTCTCCCTGACTCCTGTCTTCTTCCTTTTAATCCTGAAACCCTCTGTTTGAATCTGAAAAAAGTGCTTTACTGTAAAGAGTACCATTTAGACTTTCCTGACTTTGCCCTACGATTTCCTGACTTTGGAGAAGATCAAAATGTAAACAGCGAGAAAGAAAAAAGCATGGTAGCACATACTAATAACGCTACTATAACAAAGGTCGGTAGCACTTTATATTAAGGTATACAAATTAACCATCAACTAGTTGTTCATTAACATGCATATTAGCAGTATATTGGCCCTTTATTAGTCATTCTACATGACCATATTCTCAAGATACTCAATAACCCTATAATTAGTGCTTATTTATTGCAAGTAAGGAAGTTGTTGTACATGAGTTTTGGTCTATGCTCTGCTCAATATGGGCCTAATGAGGTAGTACCACATTAATAGTAATTCTCCCATAATAACACTTAACAAATATGATCTATTGATATGTAACAAGACATGAAACTATAAGTGTAAATAACTCAAAATGTGATATTTATATCTAAGAATATGTTTTGGGGTATTGACAGTTCAGCTACCAATAGCAAGGTGATATTGACCTGTATGTTTCATATTTGCACATTTATATATTTGTAAAATGTGTACTGAAGGTACTGGAAGGTACTGAAGTGTGCATCTAGACCGGGTGACGCAGCAACCACTGTAAGTTATATTCTTGTTTAAATAGACTTCTCTGTTTCATTGATTCTACTCTGTATAATTGTTATTGTAGCTAAAACGGTGCTTTTGAGAGATTTTAAATCTCAGATCTGCTCAACTGAACCTGTTACACAGGTCTCAGTGGGTCACTCAACCCTGCATTACAATATAGGCAGGGACACTCTGCTGTCGCCCATCAGCTGTAGAGAGTTAACTAATTAGAGGGGCGTGGCCCCACAGCTGTGAGAACTCAGCAATCAGGCGTCCATTTTAGGTAGCTCTTTCCTGGAGCGTCAGACATTGGAGTCCTGCGGGAGTCCCGAGGGTGGCATAGAGGAGGCAAATCCTACTCAGATTGAGCTAAGTATCGCTGGTGTTTTATTTAGTTTTTTAGCCCCTCAGGCTATATTCATGTGTATTTTCTCCATTCCTGTTCATGTGTCTTCTCGCAATTATCACTGGCCCCGTGTATCTCCTAATCGCTATAACCGCCCTGCTCTCGTCTATCCCACATGCTCCACTGAGATCCAACATCTAGTTTCAGGTGGCCTGTGGAACTGCCAGTCAGCTGTTCCTAAGGCTGACTTCATCTCTGGCTACGCCTCCCTGCAGTCTCTGGATTTCCTTGCTCTCACTGAGACCTGGATTACTCCATCCAACACATCCACCCCAGCAGCTCTCTCCACAGCATATTCCTTCTCCCATACACCCAGACCCACTGGCATAGGAGGTGGCACTGGTCTCCTGCTCTCTCCCAAATGGAGCTTTTCCCTCTTCAAGCTACCTAACTTCACTCCTTCCACCTTTGAATTCCATGCCGTCACAGTAACCCATCCTATACAATTAACCATTGTTGTTCTCTACCGTCCACCAGGCGCCTTGGGGAACTTCTTAGAGGAATTAGATCATCTCCTCTCACACATCCCTGAAACTGGCCCTCCCACTGTACTTCTCTCTGTTAACCACCTTTGCTTTTTCACTGTCTCCATCTCCACCAACTCATAAAGCTGGCAATGTCCTTGATCTCATATTCTCAAGGAACTGCTCTACTTCTAACCCTCTCCCCCTCTACCTTTGCCTCATCGGTGCACTCAGCCCTCCCTTCCTCTGACTCGTTCCAACTCCTGCCTCCAAACTCTGCAGCAGAAACTCTCCTCTCTACTCTCTCATCCTCTCTGGACTCTCTCTGTCCTCTCACATCTCGGCAGGCTCGTCAGTCCCCTCCTGCTCCCTGGCTAAATGACGCACTGCGTGCTAATAGAACCATCCTTCGGGCAGCAGAGCGGAAACGGTGGAAATCCAAACACCATGACGACCTCCTAACCTATCAGGCTCTCCTCTCCTCTTTCTCTGCTTCGATCTCTTAGGCAAAAAGCACTTTCTTTCAAGATAAGATCCAATCTTCCTATTCCAATCCCAAAAAACTATTTTCCATTTTCTCCACCCTCCTGGACCCCCCCAAAGCCCCTTCCCCCTCCTCCCTTCTGTCAAGCGACTTTGTTAACTACTTTGAAAAAAAGGCTGATGATATTCGCTCTCCTTTTTCTGACTCACCTTTACTCACCGCTGGGTCACCAGACCCACCTTTCACCCACACACTAACCTCCTTTTCCCCTCTCTCTCCAAGTGAGGTTCTTACCCTCATTACCTCTGCCCGCCCTACCACCTGTCCTCTGGACCCTATCCCTTCAAACCTCCTTCAGATGTCTGCTCATCACCTCAAGCTCAACCTTGACAAGACTGAACTGCTTTTCCTTCCGGGAAAAGATTGGCCCACTCTTGACCTGACAATCAACATCGGCACCTCTTTTTCCCCGACTCAGACTGCAAGGAATCTGGGTGTGATCCTAGATAACAAACTGTCCTTCACCGCAAACATCGCTGCTACAACCCGCTGCTGCAGATACACTCTTTACAACATCAGGAGGATAGGTCCCCAGCTGACCCAGAAAGCCACGCAGGTTCTGGTTCAGGCTCTCGTTATCTCACGCCTAGACTACTGCAACTCCCTCCTGGCTGGTCTACCTGCATGTGCCACATCTGCAGCTCATCCAGAATGCAGCGGCTCGTCTGGTCTTCAACCTTCCAACATTTTCCCACACCACACCGCTCCTCCGCTCCCTTCACTGGCTTCCGGTAACTGCTAGAATCCACTTCAAGACACTGGTACTTGCGTACCATGCAGTGAATGGATCTGGCCCTTCCTACATCCAGGACATGGTTTAACTGTACACCCCAGCACGTGCACTCCGCTCTGCATCAGCCAAACGACTCGCTGCACCCGCACTGCGAACCCAAGTTGCCATCAGCAAAAACACGTGGGTTTGCTATCCTGGCTCCAAAATGGTGGAATGAGCTCCCCTTTGAAATCAGGACAGCAGAAAGCTTGCACATCTTCCGGCGCAGACTGAAAACTCATCTCTTTCGACTCCACTTTGAGCGATAGAATTACTAACAAAGAACTGCTAACAGAGCACTTATATACTAATAAAGGATTGGCTTATCTATAGCCAGTTGAGTAGCACTTGAAATGTTTGGCTCTATGAAACCTGATGTACTTATATGATTCTGTTTTCTTCAAGGTTGTGTCTTCCTGGTCGAATGTACTTATTGTAAGTCGCTTTGGATAAAAGCGTCAGCTAAATGCAATGTAATATAATGAAGGTTAGACAGGAAACCGGGTACAGGAAGTAGGAGAAAGCGAACTGAATAGCATGGCAGTTAGGGTTGCCAACTTCCAGAAATGGAAAAACGGGACACAGGCATGTGTCCCCCGCGCACGTGTCCGCGAAGATTTTCAGGTTTCTGGTGGATTTAGTTACTTTTTTTTGTTACTTTATTTCGGTTTTAGGGTTATGTTATTTAATTATTTTGGGGGAGCCAGCCCCCTATAGGGTTCGAGGGGTCAAAGTCAAACCCCCCCAAAACCCTCAAAATGCATAGAAAACTATGCATACCTATAACACAATACAAAAACAATGGTCTTACACCTGCATTAGGCTACTACATCACATTGTACATCAGCATGTTCAAATCGGATAGGTGGGCACTAGGGACATCTGGGCACCTCGATGTACAATTGGCTATTTTGTCCAAAATGTTAAAAAATAAATATTTGAAAAATGGTATTAAATAATGCAAAGTATACATGTGAACATGCACGGTACATCATTATTAGACTTAATGTTATCCTTCAACCAACCATTTCCCCATCAATCAGCTGACTGACTCTCTCACACACATACACACACACACACACACACACACACACACACACACACACACACACACACACACACACACACGCGCGCGCAGAAGACCCGAGACAGATCTCCACTCACGGGCTTTACCCAACTGTGTTTTTCTTCCACTGTTTGTTATAAGACACAAGTCTTTTCTTTTTAGAAGGGCCAGGGCCCAGAACCACATCCTCTCTCTCTTCTCCTCTTTCATCATCACCTCCTCCACCAGCAGCGCTCATTTCCCCACACGACTGAACAAGCTGACATGCCACACAAACAATGATGCCGCGCCCACCGGAGAAAATCTCACACACACACGTGCGAGCATTGTGCCTGCCCTGTCAACTGAGCGGTCCTAGTGCCCTTCCCATACAGCACACAAACACACAGGCACGCAGCCAGACACACTGCATTGCGCGCAAACAGAAACATATTTTGTATTTTTCCCTCTACACGGGAATCCGGGACAAACAAAGTCCCGTACGGGACACGCCCCTTTTGGCTCAAATACGGGACGTCGCGGCTAATACGGGACGGTTGGCAACCCTAGTTCTCAGCCTTCGAGAAACTTGACATGTTTTGGTACATGTATGTGTCTGAACCTCTCTTTAGTGGTTCATTAATAAAACAGATATTTCAAGTGTGCCTACTTTGTTCATGTACTTTTGAGGTTAATTTCAGTAGTTGTGTGCTATAATGTATTTACTTAATGTGAAGAGGAGGCAACTTTAGAATAGGGAACCTGTTCAGGTCAATTAGAGTCAAACTACTAGCTTATTGGTTATGAACAAGACTTCACTTTAAAATAGGGAACATGTTCTTATATATAAATACCAAATTTAGAGTTATTTAGACACAATTAACACTTATACTTTCATGTATTGTTACATAAGAGCAGATCATATTTGTTAAGTGTTATTAAGGGAGAATTACTATTATTGTGGTACTACTGCCTTATTAGGCCCATATTGAGCAGAGCATATTAAGATCAAAACTCATGTACAACAACTTCCTTACTTGCAATAAATAAGCACTAATTAGATGGTTATATCAACTAATGGCTTATTACTTGTAGAATATGGTCATGTATAATAAGGCATTAATAAGTGTTTTATAATGACTAATAAAGAGCCAATATACTGCTAATATGCATGTTAATTAACAACTAGCTGATGGTTAATTTGTGTACCTTAATATAAAGTGTTACCCAAAAGTCTTCCTAGTTATTATGTATTCAGTACAAATGATAAGTAGTTAGGCATGATTTATACAGATTTTTTTTATTTATCCTTTATTTATCCAGGAATGTCCCATTGAGATACAAGATATCTTCTTCCAGGGAGTCCTGACCAACACGGCACACAACAAGTTTCAACATAAAACAAGGGCATTAAACAAAAAACATACAATTCAAATATAAATACAGAAGGCCATTTGTGCAGTGGCAAGAAGCATAATCACATCAGCAATAGCATCAGGTAAAACAGTTACATGTTTCATGAAGGGCTAATCGTAGCATACCTTTAAAAGCATTTACAGTAGGAAGTGCCTCTCGACAAAGTTTTACTTGCAGCGTATTCCATAAAAAGGGAGCATAGTGGGAGAATGCAGTTTTACCAAGCTCTGACTGCATCAAAGGAACATTTAAAAGCATCCCATTTGCTGCTCGTCTGGTATTAAAAAAGCAAGTATAAAAGGACAGAAGTCTGGAGATATATAAGGGCAGCTTACCTAGCAATGACTTAAGGATAAAAATCAACATGTGTGATTGTCTTCTTTGGTACAGAGAGGACCATCCTAGGGATTGATACAAAGTGCAGTGGTGGGTGCGAGAGCCTGCACCCGTTACAAAACGTATAGCAGTTTTGAGGGCCAGGTTGTCACAAAATCCTATGGGAAGGTGTGTATGGTTTCTATTTAGTACTAGTGCAGTTAAAACAGTAATTAAGATATTAGCATTGCACTCCTAGAACAGTGTCATTCAATAACTATTAAAGCAGCAAATATAGAGACTGAACCAATTATCACCACCATTGTAAAAAAAATTCTGCAAAATGTAACCATCATGAATTGCGACAATCAATACAATTCTACACATAGCGAGCTTTAACACGGGATCCTAACTCGTGTGAGTATACCCTTAGAATCGCAGTGTTTGTCTAGCACTCATTCACTCTTCTCCATTGTATTTTCCCTGCAGAACTGCGTGAGGCATTCAGGGAGTTTGACAAAGACAAGGACGGCTTCATCAGCTGTAAGGACCTCGGCGAATGCATGAGGACTATGGGATACATGCCGACAGAGATGGAACTGATCGAACTCAGTCAGCAGATCTGTAAGTCCTGCATGCACAGATGTAAAAATAAACACAAAATGCTAGTGGAGCCTCGCAGATGGGGGTGCTGCAGCCCCTTCAGCATCCCCCCCTTCCCGCGTCCATTCGCGATGTCTCGCTGTCTCACAGACCCCGCGCAGCAAGCAGGAAATTAACCCAGCTCACACTGTCCGCTCCTCGCCGCAGCGAGCCGCGCAACGTCCCGCCAACATGGCACCCAGACCCCACGCAGCATTGTCATCTGTTTGTCCTTACTGGTGTCATTTTCTGGTTGCTAACGCCGTTGTAACACATAATCACTGATGTTCCGCTGTAACGGTGGTAGACCATAGTGGTAGACTCATCAGAACAGAGTGGGCGAGCTGACCAATCAGAGCACAGTGGGCTCACAGGGAGGTGGGGGGGCAGGAGCTCCAACAAGCCGTTTAGGACAGAGAGTACACATACTATACAGAGATGCTGAATGAGAAACCAATGTGAGTTTGGAAAATTGCACAATATAAATCTATTCTAGTATACCTCAACAATGGAATTATGATCAGTAGAAATAGCCATGACATGGGACCTTTAAGCACAAACTATAACTCCCTAAACAAGCTGCAATTAAAATAAAAGTTATGTTATACGTTAAACCTATCACTTTGGTCACTGACTGAGATCAATGCAACATATACTTAAAACAACGGTATGAATAAACGTTATTTTTTGTTTGTTTTTCTACAAAAGTGTGCCCTTTAGGTGCCGTAACTGTTAAGGCACAAATCTACTTAGAAAAGTACCATCATTTTGATGTCACGGCTATAGAAACCTTTAATATTGTACAGAAACGCAGTATAACAGGACGTAGCATTCCAGAAAGGTATCTAATGTAGCGAGAATGAATACCATTTATAAAGCAAGAAACGGGGGGTTACATATTGTAACCCTAGTTCTATAAGCACAGGCGGAGCCCTCTACTGGACTCTATGGGTACTACTCTCATCAATGATATGCGAGGATTCAAACACTGAAGTTGTATAAACGTAGCCGGCCAATCAGGGCGAGCCTACCTGAATGCACGCGCACATAAGGCAGCTACACCTCCTGACTGTCATCCTACACCCTCTTCAGCGATGTTGTGCACCGGCAGAAATGTTAAAAGAGTTTCATTTCTATGTTGTTTTATGGTTGTTTTGTCACTCACCATTTACCTGTCATTCCAGGTTTCCTGATTATCCTCCTCTTGTGTGTCTCCCGTGCTCATCAGCACCAGCCCCTCCCCTGATTATTTCCACCTGTGTCTTGTTGTTGTGTGTTTAAATTCCCCAGTCTCCCAGTGTTCTTTGTCAGTTCGTCTTGTCTCATGCCTAGGTCGGATCTATGCTCTCTTTGATACCATGATGCTTTTTGTTCCTCACTACGTGAGCGATGTTCTTTTGTTCACTTTTTGCCATCTCATCTAGAGATTAGAAAGTGTTTATTTTGTTCATCAATTGGAAAATAAAGTATCTTACAAATACTTTACCTCTGTCTCCTGGGTCGTGCAATTGGGTCCAATACTCTGAGTTTCTGAGTTCGTAACAGAACGAACTGACCATTATGGACCTAGCCGACCCAAGAATGCTTCATGCCACCCTGTCAGCACAAGGCGTGAAGATTTATCATCACGAGGAACAGCTGGGCATAGCCAATCAGGGAATAAAAGAGCTGGGAGGACGCCAGGCAGAGTTTCAGGAAGTCATCTCTACGCAGATACAACAGCTGACTGCACAGATGACTCAATTATTCACTCACCTACAGACTGCTCCTCCGGTGACGTCATCCACAGCTGGGGGTTTCCTTGTCAAGAATCCTGCTGACACAGTCAACCCAAACCAGGCTGTTTCTTCATCTTTACGGCTGGCACTTCCGGAGAGATTTTCCGGAGACTCTATGAACTGCAGAGCCTTTTTGGTACAGTGCGATTTGCATTTCCAACACCACCCAGGAGCCTTTCCATCAGTAAAGTGGCATTTATCGTGTCTCACTTAACGGGAAGAGCTGCAGCCTGGGCTACTGCAGAATGGTCTAGAGCAGTAGTTCCCAAACGGTGTGCCGTGAGGCAAGTCCGGGTGTGCCATGGGATTTTGTGACAACCATACGTTGTTATTATTGCAATATACAACTACACAAAAATAATTATTTTTTCATTTACTATATCAGTACTTTGTAGGTTTATATGTACGTAATCTGCGCGACTTGCGCGTCCACATCTCCACGTGCAGTGCTGCATAAACATGGCTGAGTCAGCGATAACTCTCGAGGGGTGGAGGTATGCCCATTATTTTGAGTTCGTCCGAAGAATAGACAGGAATGTGACAGTGAGGTGCAAACTGTGTCCAGGCCAGAAGCTGTTATCCACTGCTGTAAACACCACGTCAAACCTCAACAAGCACCTGCAAAGAACACATGTTAAGGTGAAGCTACCGCACACGCTATTTGTTGTTTGTTTATATCACGTAGTCTGTTCTTCATCTCTGTCTTCCGGTTGTTGCCTGTTTTGAATAACAAATACACACTACCGCCGCCTGCTGGTAAGGAAAGTTATTGCCACTCACGCATGCACAGTTCGTACGTTCACATGTATCTCACTAATTTGTAAGTCGGCAAAAATATTTACAATAGCACATGTTTCAATGCTGATTGCTGAAATGTTACATTTATAATTTGTAGTTCAGGACCATGGACAATGCAGCTTCCTTGCATTGACAGTTCTCTGTGCTGAATTTCTGCTGAGTTTCCTTTGCCTCATTTTTAATGTTGTGACCTGTCTGGTTTAAATGAGTGTGTTGCTGCTTTGATGAAGCCTAATTTGATAAAGTTTCAAATTAATTTCTGAAATATTTCGTTAATAAATATTTCATGAGTAATAGTTGTCTTTGTCACATTTTATTTGGCATTAGTAAATAATTATGCACATTTACAGATATTTTACATGATATGAGTGATAACACGTGTTATAAGGGCTATTTTGCACAATAGGTGTGCCTTGAGATTTTTACTTGTCCTTTGGTGTGCCTTGGGCACAAAAAGTTTGGGAACCACTGGTCTAGAGACACCGAGTTATGTTACTCATTGGCCGATTTCATAAAGTTTCATGAGTCGCATTTTTGACCACTCGTCACCTGCTACAGAGGCCAGCAGAAGACTTTTTCAGATGCGCCAGCTCAACCGTCAGGTGGTTGATTATGCCATTGAGTTTCGCACAGCGGCAGCGGACAGCGGGTGGAATGTTCCAGCTCTTCGTGACGCTTTCAGAGCCAATAAAGGACCAGCTGGCTCCACTGGAGGTGCCCCGGGATCTGGAATCTCTCATCGCTGTGGCCATCCGGATCGACAACCGTCTTCGGGAAAGAGAGAGAGAACGCCGACGCACCCGTGACGTTCTTCCCAGTTCCCAGGATTATTCTCGGAGGGTCGCTCCGCCGGGTGAGGATTTCCAGCCCGTGGTATCGGACCGTCGGAGGACAGCGCTTCCAGTTAACTCCGGCGAACCCATGCATTTGGGTAGAACCAGGCTTACTCGGGAGGAGAGACAGCGCCGTTTACGGGAGGGCTGCTGTTTCTACTGCGGTGAGCTGGATCACCAACTCGCTTCATGTCCGGGAAAAGATCGAGCTTACCAGTCAAAAGGAGGGCGCTGGTAAGCAAGTTTTCCACTGACTTTTCTCCTCGACCTGTTACTCAGGTAAACATTTTTATAAACAATCAGGCCATAGACTGCGGTGTATTAATAGACTCAGGGGCTGACGAAAGTCTTATGGACTGGAGCATAGTCAAACAGCTAAAAATAAAGACTGTTCCGCTATCCCGCCCTATTAACGCCAGTGCCTTAGACGGCCGTCTGTTGTTCACAGTTACACACTGCACTGAGCCTGTTCAGATCACTATGAATAAGGACCATACAGAGTAGGGCTGTGCAATTAATCGTATTTTAATCGCGATTACGATTATGGCTTGCGACGATTAGGAAAACAGCATAATTAACAAAATACGATTATTTTGCTGGGTGCGCTTTCGCCCCTCCCTAAAAGCCCACTCGGCCACGTGGGAGTGACATGTGTTGTGAGTGTTCAGCGCAAGCGAAGATGTCAGAACAAGAGCAGCAACTAGTTAAAAAGAAGGGTCGCGGGGAGATTCCCAGTCGATCGCGAGATGTGTCTAAAAATAGAACAACAATATTCTGTTGTATCGTTAATGTCCTGTAACATAATGTTCCCGTGCCAGAATAATGCACTTGAATGCATCAAAGCTTTGTGATTGGCCGGCCTCACCCCATGTGTCCGGGCGTGGCTGGTGAGCAGTGCACTAGTTCGCTGACGTTGTCCGTGTCAACAGCATGGATGGTCAACAGGAGTGACAGTCCGCACACACACAAGACCGCAATTATGGCAGAAGCAAAAAAGCCCAAAATATATCATTTCACTCCGAGTGGGAGGATCATTATTTTTGTATCTATTCCAATTCAAAGTCCATCTGTCTCATCTGCAATGCGAGCGTGGCTTTATCGAAGAAGGGTAATTTAGGAGCGGCATTTCAAAACAGTGCACAAACGCTCCGAGACGGAATTCCCTCCTAATTCTGCCCTACGCTCCCAAAAGGGGAGGGGCCTGAAAGGACAGCTAAATGCACAGCAGTCCATTTTCACCAGGCCCAACAACAAGAGCAAGGCTGCTACCAGAGCATCTTATCGTGTCAGTCACGTTCTTGCGAAACACATGAAGTCTTTCGAAGACGGCGAAGTTATGAAAGAAGCTTTCCTGGAGGCTGCGACGCGCTTTTGTGGGACAGTAAAAATAACAGCAGCATTTCAACAGGTTTTTGATATAATAAAAACTCAATTTAGATACCGTTATTAATCTGCTGTAAGTTTTAGTTTGTTTGAATTTATTCATGATAATTATTGTACAAAATGGTATAAGAATGCAAACATTAAGATCTGTTCTGTTTAAATTGATTATAGTCTATCAGTTCAGAAACTA